ATGTCGCTCCTGAGGTGCTGAACGTCGTGCCTGCGCTCATTTCCCAAGTTCCAAGCAGAGCTGTTGACATGAAGCCTCAAGAATTGTCCAACTCTTTGTGGGCATTAGCACATTTGAAGGATGTCGCTCCTGATGTGCTGAAGGTCGTACCAGCACTCATTGCCCAAGTTCCAAGCAGAGCTGTTGACATGAAGCCTCAAGAATTGTCGAACTCTTTGTGGGCATCAGCACATTTGAAGGATGTGGCTCCGGATGTGCTGAAGGTCGTTCCAGCACTCATTGCCCAAATTCCAAGCAGAGCTGTAGACATGATTCCTCAACACTTGTCCAACTCTTTGTGGGCAGCAGCGCGCTTGAAGGATGTTGCCCCTGATGTGCTGAAGATAGTGCCAGCACTCATTGCTAAACCGCCAAGTAAAGCTGGCCAAATGACAGGAATTGAGTTGTCCCAATTTAGGTGGGCAGCCGCAGAGTTAAAGGATGTAGCACCCGAAGTGCTGAAGATGGAGGCTTCCATCCAAGCAAGGTCGCAACACAAGTCAGACCCCGGCCATGCGGATTCTCAATGAATTTGGACCTGTTCGGGCCGGCATAGGATTCTACTGATATTCTCGGTGTATGACTATGACTATGACTATGACTCTTCAAGTGCTTAGTGTCAGCGCTTAGTGCCAGCGCTTAGTGTCAGCTTTGTTAACCTTGAGTTCCCAAATGCCAGATAAGGTGCGTGAACCACCTATAGCTTTCCAGCACCATCTTGGGAAGAGTGCTCGGTGGCCAAATTGAAGCACCACGGAGATCCGAGTGCAGGAGCAGGTGCTGGATTGCTTGGAAAAAGAGCAGCTCGGCGGACCTGCACTCATTCTCACAGCTGCCCCTATCCTCACATTGAAGTATTCTTGGAATGAATCGCACACCCGTTTGTCCCCCAAACTAGGTTGACACCCCCAGATGTTTCAACATGGTTTTCGACGTTGAAGTTGTATCCAGCGATATGTTTATCCTCTACTGCTCAAGTTCAAGACCTTTGACAACTGATAGGCCACCTACTTGCGCGGAGAGAGAGAGAGAGAGAGAGAGAGAGAGAGAGAGAGAAGATGCCACTATATATAGAACAGACATGGTGCCCTCCAGAACATCGTTTTCAAGTCTTTTCTGCTCCACAAACTGAGTGTACCACTTCAATGTGGGGCTTGCATCTAGGGCCTGGAGCAACAACTTGAGGCACTGTTTTGTCAGTACACAAGCAATCATAATTTTTGAACAAGGCCTGCAACTGAACCATCATCATCCACTGGGCCCAGGTAGACTCGGATAGACCCAATCCAAGAGTGTTCTTTTGTGCTGAAGCCCGGCAGAGTGCCACGCTTCTCCTCCAAGTCCTCGCCAGGGTGCCATGAAGGCTCCGCCCGGACGCCCAGGTCCTTGGCGAGTCCAGTAGTTTGGGGCGTACCCTGTTTTTTCCCCCGCCAGAGCGGGCGGGGGAGGTCCTCAAGTTCTTGTGTTTCACTGTTTTTTTTCATATTAAACCTGTCAGGGTGTTTCATTATCGCTCTTGGCTTTACTCCATCTCCATCTCCATCCCATTCTATCACCCATCAGATTTTTCCCAACAGTCAGAAGCTGTAATGCACGACATAGCACACCCTCACAGCACTCGGTTGATGGAAGCCTCGGAGGAACCGGGACGAATGGGGGCAACGCCGGTGGACCGGGGGCCGGCTGGCCAGCCACACGAAGAATACACTCCCACTCACTGGAACTGGACAATGGCCACCTGGGAAGACCATGTTCCTTCACAAATCAGGTGGTGAACTCCAACTTATCATTGTTGGTGAGTCAGAGGGTACAGTACCACCTTCTGGGGCGAACAGCTGCTTCGGGAGGTGAACGGGTTTGACCAAGGCCAAACGTGGCGCCGCCAGCACCTTGGAGAGGGCCACAGGCGAGCAATGTGAGGGCCTTGGGAGTTGGGACATTTGCAAAAAAAGGGGAATGCGGGCTGCGGGATGCCTCTCTTGTAAGGCTAGTTGGCTAGTTGTTTCTTTCTTGTTCCAGAGCCCTGTTGTGTCCTCGGCAACTCTGAATTGGATTCCTTGCTAGGGAATGTTTCCAAACAAAGCCCCCTATCCAGCCACAAATCCCTATACACAGCCCCTACCATCCCTTACATGGTGTTGTGCCTTGAGTGGCCTAAAAAACCCAACAACCGCCTAGCTGACTCTCTTAGAACCCACCACGGGTTGCCCCCATACAAGAACAAGCCACTCACCATCAGACCTCCCCAGACGCTCATGGACCCTCCTACGGGGGCCGGACCCTCGAAGGGGTCCAGACCCTCAAATTCTTAGGGTTTTGAGGGACCAGTCGGGCTGTGAACGGAGCGTTTGGGTCACTCATCATCAGAGCACCGACTTCCAGGCCCCCGCCCCGAGCCTTTCGAGCGCCACATCGGCCGCACCGGGCCCGGGCGCGAGCGACGCGCAGGCGCGATGCGGGCGGGCGGCGGGTGGCGCGCGAATGGTCATCCATCTGCTCAGGGCACTCCATGTGGACAATCGGTTGTTTTTTTTAACGCTGGATGTGGGTGTGTGACGATTCGCACCTATCTCCAGCAAACTAGATATTTGAGCTTTTTTCAGGTTATAACACACTGCTCCATGGGGTTGGACGCTAAATATGCTGGAAGGTCCGACGCTCAGGCTTCACAATGTATTCACCTGAAGCCCTAGCCATGGAACCCTGCCAGGGAACCCTCGAACTTGCGGTTGACGAGTCCTTGGCCTATGGACTCTGAAAACCAAGAGGGGGGATCCATATAAGGCCTCCCCCTTTTGGAGCCACAAGGGTCGGGAGCAACCCAAACAGACATCCGACAGAGTTTTGCATAGGGCAGCCAGCACTTGTCTAACTGCTTGTTGGGGATGGATCCATAGATCCATAGCCCTGGACCACTGGAGATCAGAATCAGATCTTTGTAGCCCTTCTTGGCTCACACAGATGGAGCTGCCTCCCGATGCGGCGAACCCGCGCATTCCGTTTCGCCACACACAAGCCGTCCCGCCCGAAGCGCTGGGTGGAGCAGCTTGGGGGAAATCTGACGGAAGGACATGCGGGAACTTTGGCGCGTGAAGTGACTTGGCTACCTCTTGGTTGCAGGATTTGGTGATTTTCGACTTGACACGGCATAAACCATAAACCATCATAAATCCAGAACAATATTGAGGTTTGTTGATCAACCTCAAACGGCAACATTCCCCTTTTGGACAACACGCCCCTGTTGGACATATGCCAGGAGTGTCGAGGAGTTTTTTTCTGTTCATTTGTATCTCTTATATCTAGGGGGTGTATGTTGTTTGTTTGAAAAGATGCCATGTTTTTGATAAACTATATGAGCCAGTCAAGCATCCAGATTTCGCAAGTGAAGATAGATACTTCAGCATCAAGTGCTGACACAAGATCACCTTCCCGCAGAATACACCTGGTGCGTGCTAGATTGGAACATCACGAATCACAATTTGTTCTTTTCAAGTCAGTGGTCATACTGTCGATGTGCAGCATTGCACAAGAACAATATATTCTTAACAGCTTCTCCTTCAATACGAAGAACACATAGTTAAACTCGGGCATGAGCAGTGCCACACGACATCCCTGCGGGACGATTGATCTTTGAGACCCATCAATTTGAGAGAGCCTCGAAGAATAGGTTAGTCCAAAAAGAGCCCCTTGGCGTTCCATAGTTTTGCAGGTACAGTGTGCCCCACATATGGAACCTGGTTGCTGAACCAGAGCCAACTCCTGCCAAGGCTCAGTAGCATCCGATTTTTTCCCAGATACACTGCCTGAAACAATCATGGAAGTGGATGGCATGGCCCGTTCGATTACCATTTTCTGAATACCGAAACAGGGTGTGAACTCCACTTCCCTTATTCCTCGCAGTGTAGTTTCAGACTTGAAAGCGGCTCATGTGCTTTGTGCGTCTTTCACGGCCACACCTGCCCTAATGAAAGGCGAAGGAGCGCTCACGAGAAGAGTTCAGCGAGCTTCTGCGCACTTTGGCACGGCACGAGGGCGACGACCTGGTCTTTGCTGCCCTTGAGGAGCTGAGGCCAAGTGGACCGCCGACCGTGTTCTTGGATTAAAACATGTTATGGTCCAAAGACCGTGGGGAAACCGTATTCCTTCCAAAGATGCACTCGACACTGTTTCAATAATTATGTTTGGGGAACCATGATTTGCGTGATGTTTGGTGCTTTCAGATTCAAGATTTGAGTGCCCTGTTGCCAGCAAGTTCAATTTAAGTTGCCAGGAACAGTTGGGCAAGGTAGATATCATATTCAATCTCCAGTCCCCGATCTTCATGTTTGCTTGTGGCTATGAACATGTCCAAAAACTAATGAACCGTGTGTGATTTGGTTGTAGTTGTCGTTGCCCTATTCTTTCTATAAGGCATGCTCACAACAACAATGTTGATTCATGTCAATTCCTTTGCCATATATGGTCGGTGGAATCTCAGCAAAAGCGCGCCAGGCGACATGGGCACGACCTGAACACCACCGACTACACTGTTGCGATCTCAAGTTGTGGAAAATCCAAAGCCTGGCAGCAAGCCCTACGAGTGTTCGATGCCATGAAAGTCGCAAAACTTGAGCCAGATGCCATCAGCTACACTGCTGCCATTAGTGCCTGCGAAAAAGGTGCGCAATGGCAGCAGGCATTGAGATTTTTGGAGGCCATGCCGGAGGCGAGGCTTCAGCGAGATGTCTTCAGCTATAGTGCAGCTATCAGTGCCTGCGAGAATGGAGGGGAATGGCAAGAAGCTTTGAGGTTGTTTGAGCACATGCCACGTGCCCAAATCCAGCCAAACATCATCGGTTATACTGCAACGATCCGAGCTTGGACTCGAGGAAATCACTGGTCACAAGCCTTGAAGCTATTTCAGGCCATGCCCTCGGCAAAACTGAAGCAAGACGTCATCAGCTATAGTGCAGCCATCACTGCGAGTGAAAAGGGTTCTCAATGGCAGCAAGCACTGAAGTTGTTTCAGGCCATGGCAAACACAAAAGTTCAGGCAAATGTTGTCAGTTACACCGTGACGATCAGCGCCTGTGATAGAGGAGGGCAGTGGCAACAGGCATTAAAGATGTTTTGGGCAATGCCGCAGGCAAAGATTTTGCCAAACGTTGTTAGCTGCAACGCGACCATAAGTGCCTGCGAGAAGGGCTGGCAATGGCAGT